CACCACCCCCAGAATAAACCAGGTATTGAGGGCACAATCTTTCAATAGCTGTAACAATAAAGTAGAGTAAATATCTTTTGGATAGGGGGCGCTATTGATAGCAAAGTAACAAAATCTTAATAAAACGCTTTCATTTACTGACTTATGTACCAGAAGCTGTAAATTTAGTGTTCCTACTTTCTTTGACTATAAATCAACTGCAACAATCAAGAATTGGCAATCAGTCAATTTGTCATCAAAAACAATGATTAAAATAACATTAGCAATTGAAAAAAATATTGAAACATTTTAAAATTATATAATAGTAATAAATATAAATTTCTAATTTTATTAATATTTTACAGCCATTGAATAATGATCAAGGTGTTCTTATCTATTACATTGATTAAATACAGACCTATCTAACAGATTGAATCGGCAAGGTATAATGAATAAAAAAATCACAAATTTTACCAAAAGGTCAAATGCATAGCCAAAGATATGAACTTGGAAAATAACACGGGTAGCAAACCCAAGGGACGCAACTTCAACCTTGCTCGTAAAGGTAGCTCACATCAGGAAAATGTAAAATATGTGATAATCCGTCTCTTAGGAGAGAAAATCGGAAACAACAATTATCAAACGATTCTGTCCACAGGAGCATTGGATTGAACCGCATCTATCATGGCACAGTGACGTCAACACGTTGTGACCAGTGAGAACCAATTTGCAATGATGTGTTCCATCGCATATTGTATAGCACTAGCCAATGTGGTTTATCATACATCATTTGGGTTATTAAATAAACTCTTAGCTCTTGTGAGTGTAGGAGTTGGGTATACAGCAATGCTATAATGAAGGTGTAGCTTGGTGGTTTAAGATGACTGCCTTCAAATCCGAGGGTCCTGGGTTCAAAGCCTGTGACAGCATTGGATTTTTTTTTCTCTTGACTAAAACACATCTCCACTCCCCAAACCTGGTATTGAGACCTTTTTTAAGAGCACCCCTCTATATCAGCTGACCTTTTAAAAATATGCTGGAAGGGTCACCCTCTATAAATATGGTTTAAAAAACAATAATGTTTATATGATCTATCTCAACCATCTGATTAATTCATTCTCTCTGTTCAATATACTGTTCAATCTTGGTTTCAAATTATTAATATTTTCAGCATATTTCATGTATTGTTTTTTTTTAAATTATTATTTATTACTAATATTTTCATTATTGTTTGGCGTGAATCATACAAAAGAAAAATCAGTAAACAGATTTCTGAGTCATCTTTTAGGTACAAAGTACAAAGTTCCGCTTGGGAACCAGTCGTTATTTCTCGAAGGACATCTTCCCACGTACTTATCCCGGTCAACATAGCGGGACCTACGAATATGTACTGGGTACGCAATCAATCATCCATACTCACATGCACACAATTCAATAACAAAAATCATAAAACATAATTAATAGACCAGAGACCAAAGTCAAAAGCTGAACCTGCAGAGTTAATAAAACTTCTATGCAAAGTTTTATAGAAAAAGAATCATAGAAGCTTCAGTTTTTCTCTAGAATACCCACCTATTGACATACGTCAAAGAACTCCGTTAACAATTTTAAAGTGCTCTTAAAAGTTTCTTAAACAATAATTTTTTTTTAAATTCCCAGCTTTTATTGTTATTGTTAAGTGCATGGAGGCTTTAGCATAATGCGTTATATATCAAGGTTAAATTATTGAAATTATTATTATTACGCTACTAGTTTTTCATTTTTTCCCCCCCTTGGATCCATCGTCCCTCTTATCTATACAGCTCTTTCTTATAGTTTATCCATATAATTGATCTTCATTCTTAGTTCATGTAAAGGGCATGCTATTTGCACGCAATTTGTCTAACCGATATGGTTGTTGACCAGGATCGGTACGTGGGAAGATATTCTTCGAGAAAGCAACGACTGGTTCCCAAGCGGAAAACCGATAAAAACATAAATACTGCTGGAAACTTGGCACTGTAAAACTTTTTTTATGGATAGTGAAACAAAATTAATATATTGTAATGATTTAATGCTACTGTGAATATGTACTGGTGGGTCTTGTACCATTAATTGCTGGTAAACGGTGCGTTGGTGATTTTTTATTGTTCATAGCGGTCCTGGTTAGCTTTTGGTTATTTCTCGATTTTGATTTTGCATTATTCTTACTCCATTTCTTTTTATTCCCTCTTTTCTGTTTATGCAAAGTGCATAAAAGCTCTGGCATTATGTGCTACATAAATGTAACATTATTATTACTTAATTACTATTATTATAAAATAAAATTATATCCTCTGAAATATAATCTAGAAGAAGACCTGAGTAATTGTGTTCAGCAAGTGAATTAAATAATTCTGAACCAAAAAGATTTAATACAATATCCTGACCATCACAAAATTGCATAAAAATAACCCCAAATACTTAGTTGTAAATAATAAATTTAAATTTACTGACAAAACTACAAGAGAAGACAATATAAAGTATAAAAAGATTTATTATTGAATTATGGCTAAGAGTACAGGAACGTATTAATCAATTCATTATTGATTAGCTTTTAATGATGATCTAAGGAAGGGGACGACATGAATCCATCTGCTTCTGAAGGCGTCCCCAAATCATGGAACATCTGCTGATGATGACCTGTTGCAAGTGCTATAACCCCTTTGACCTCTGTGACCGAGGCAAGACCCATCACTAAAACTGGAACAAAGTCAAGCGCTTTTCTTCATCATAAATCTATACTTGCCCAGGAGGACTCAACTGGCTCGTTGGTCGTTGGTCGTTAATGATAAATCGTCACAGATACAAATATCTCCACTGATCAAAAATTGTCAAGGAAAACATTAACACGCAAAAGCTTGTGTTCCTTCCACATCTGACCCCTTGTGAACTTTTCAAAGGATACTTCATGAATGTAATTTCCAAATGTTGAACAGTGGCAAGTTAACAACCACAGGGTTAAAATTGTTAACCTCACAAACAAATAATCTTTTTATGGCAGGAAGCCAAAATATGAATAAAAGATTTACGAGGTTTCTCAATACATTTTCTTGTTCTTGCACCTTTTATGTATTTTATCTATATGTTTATTTATCATAACCAAATAAATTCAAATCAAATCAAATTCATAAATAATGAAACATTAACAATTTCTCATTCTTCAAGCCAAAATTTTACCTGAATTTTGTTATATATCCTAACTATATTTAATGACATTGATATTTTAATTAAATTAACCTATGGTATACATACTTAAGGTTTACATGTGAGGCCTCACCACAAAATGAGTCTCATGGAATATCAAAAATTGAGTTTATATTATATTTAGGTAGATCACATTATAAGCTTTAATTTGGTCTTTGAATGGCTTCACTAGGATATGTAGATCCAGATATGTGAGCATATATTATGTGTTTAAAGAGAACCACATTTTGAGAAAATCGGCTTAAAAAGATAAACTAACCTGTACAAATAATAGGACTAGAATTACAGAATATGCGTAGAGAACATTGTTTTAGTAAGAAACTTAACTTAAAAGGTATACAATCATTAAATATAAATATCAAGTTATTCAAAAACATTAAAATCAAAATTGTGTAAAAGTTTAACTTCTACCTATTTTGGTGATTATCTCAAAATGATTTCACCAACGATGCGTCTCATTTCGTGGTGAGACCTCACATATATGCTAGGTATGAGCATCAACTCTATTTACAATTCTATATCATCTACCCCAATAAAATAAAGTATATACAAACAGTATGAAATATCATACCATTATTACTACAGTAAATTTAAGGGCCCACAAATTGTTATATATAACAAATTGGATGATGTAGTAACTGCACCAGCATATATATATAAAACTTACAATTTTACGGAAACAAAAAGTATAACAAATAGAATTTAAAACTTATGGGAGAACCTCAGCTAATTTTACAGGCTAAAAGAAAACAAAAATGAAACAAAGTAGCAATAGCTATTAAATCAACGTGACCACAAAAGTGTGACCCTCTCACCAATAAATCTCAGTTTACATGACAGTATAAAATCAACTATAATTTATGGCTTGTGTTTCTAAGAACAATTGCACAATAAGATCACAAAGCCAGGATTGAGTTTCAGTAGTTAAAAAGTCAATTGCATTTTCTGATGGGAGATCACATAGGCCAGTTCTATACAAATGCCAATAAAAATCACAAGCTTAGTAGAACCCACCAAATGGAAATGCATATTAATAATCGTAAACTCAGAAAGAATGTCAAAGCCACTAGCTGTCACATGGATAGTTTAAATTATGTAAAATGAATTGTAAATTATCAAGGTATTCAACAGTGATTCAAGAAACAGGAAACTTTGTCTACAGTAACATTTACCATGCTTGAATAAATGAAAAACATATTTTTTTAAATTCTCAAATAAAAAAAAAATAAAAAGATATTCCTGCAGGTGTCAACGTTGCTGACTTCAACCCAGCAGTCAATGATTAATTTGAATTGATAAGTATGTAACCATGGAGAAAAAAACAGGTTGTTTATGTTGGCTGTGAACCTATATTCCATGATTGTATACAAAAACTGTATGAAACACACTGACAAAACATCGCGATGAAAAAAAAAACTAGGCCGCAAACTATTTCTGATGCATGCCAAAATCAAACTCGGTATTCAGCCAAAGGACTCAGAATTGGTGGGGCTTCAACATTTACCAAAATCGTAGAAAAATAAATACTACAGGTACATGCACAACTACCTGTACAGCACTAAACGCGAGAGATAAGTCAACCGCCAGCAAGCATGGTTTTTTAGCTTATTTGTTAATACAAGAAATCTGTAGAAATGTTGGAATCATTTGCGACTGATCACAACAGTCCACTAAAAAATGATAATGTATTAGAATGAATTTGTCATACTAAATATTTTCTTTATGTTTAACCAAAAATTTAATTAATAATAATTTGTCATTTACCACTTTCAGCAAACCAAGATGCCTGTAAAACATATATAATGGTTAAACGTAGAAATGATGATGATAAATTGTGAACTTACTTTGGTGGATCCAGTACAGGATTAGCATTAGGCTCATCTCTAGCATTGCCTGCAGGTTTCTCAAGAGCCTCAAACTCATTCACAATCTCAAGCTCCAGTTCCACTTTCCCCTGTTAGGTTACAGAAAATGTGTTAAAAATCATGTATAGCAAAGTTCTATAGTTTGGCGGTAAGATGCTTGCTTCCAATCCAAAGTACCTAGGTTCAATTCCTGTGACTGGCAGGTTTTTTTCTCACGACCAAACTCCACTCCCTAAGTCGAATTAACATGTAACAAATATATATATTACAACCTGTCTCTTATACACATCTAGATGTGTATAAGAGACAGGGCATAGGTCTACTATTTACTATTATTTATGGTTAATAATTATTGACTATTGCATACGTTGACATAATAGACACAAAATTTATTCAAGACGAATATTTCCGACACGCCTGTGTCCTTCCTCAGCGTTATACATATATATATATATATAAAACATACATTTCATAAATATATAAATTTGATATTGCACAAAATATGGAAATAAAATAAATAAATACAGGTTCAAAACCAACAAATTTCATTTTTTATACATCAAGTTCTAAAGTTGTAAATAAACTGGTCGTGGCTAACATGATTGAGAGTAGTTGAATAGCAACTTGACCAGAAGCCTAATCTCATTTGGGGGCTAAGGATTAATAGTATCGTTCACAATCACCTGCTGTGACCTGGATTAACCCCCCCAAGGTATTTCTGTATCATTAGCTAAAAATACCAAACCTAAGATTAGATAATACTCGGCACCAGTTTAACCCAAGTTTAGAGGATGCGGAAAGGATTTCGGACTGATGGGAATTTCAGATGTCAACAGCAAAATAATAACCGAGTTGTAACAATTTTGGACTGAAAATAACTGACCCTTCACTGCTTAAGTCAATAGCCTTTTAAATCTCACCTTGATTTTAGCCACGAACGTCTTTAAAGTAACAAAAACCTCTTAATTCTGAATGGAATTAAGTGAGGTGATGACCCCGGGGAAAATTTCAGTACAATTTAAACAGGATTAACCATATTAATATTTGCATTTTAATCATCATTTGGCCTTCTCTTCAGTTCCTAAGATCTCCCACTGAAAACTAACGGAGCAAGAAATTTACACACAAGTTAAGAATCACCTCATTTCTTGTTCAGTGAAGTTTTTAGTACCAATTAATAAAATACATCCTAAATACTATTAAAAAAGTTGTGTGAATCGAGCCCATAACCAGATGATAGTTTGGTACCGTACCACTAGATCACCAAGCTTGCTTGGTCCCCAAGCAGCAAGCTCTGTAATACAGTAATTCAAAAAATGTTTGCCAGGAAACTATATCATTAATGTTGATTTAATTTTGAAATAAATACAATGAAGTACACGTACGGTCAGTTCTGGAGTACCAGTCTCCTCACTCATGCATGGCCACCATCCATTAAGGCGCTTTTGCTCGAAAAGAGACACCATAGTCACTTCGACTCCGGCCTTGTTCTCGGGCAACTGTTCAAGACTGCACTTGGATGATTTCTTCTTAGGTGACGGCATGCTATTCAGATTCAACTCAAGTGTACCTTGAAATTAATGAAAACCATACATAATTATCATGTTTAATAACAATTTTGGAGCAAAAAATAACTAAAAATTTAATATATACTGCCAGTGGTAAAATCTATTAAAAAATATATAAAACAAACTCGCTACCAAGAAATAAAATATAAAATAAAAAGTAAAACCAATTAAGAAATTTGCTTATTTGGAATAGCAAATTTCAATTTGAAACGTATCTAAACAATAAGTAGTACAAGGTAATGTTAGGGGAATAACCTATAATTTGCAGCATAATCACGCTAAAAATTGTGCATGGGCATATCTGCATCTCCCTAGCAGCTGTAAAAAGGCACTCCATATTCACATCATTACCACAATGACAGGGGCTAAAATGAACCCCCTACTACAGAAAGTAGACATTGACGGTAGGCTAATTCTTACCCTTTTTACACTCTAGAGTAAACAGACAATTTATTGCATTTTACAAATTATAAATATAAATTTATACTTTTTTTTATATGCACAGTATATAGGTTATGTGTGAGAAATTTTCAAGTACAGTAGGTGTATAATATAAATATTGATCCTACTGCAAGAGAATCGCATCTAATGTGTGAGACTTGGCAGGTATAATATAAATTAAGACTGTATCATGGTTTTTTTTTGTCGATTATTTCTGAAGTTTATGGTAATGAAATTACTTTGCATATTTTCTGCAGAATCGTACACCTTAAATCTGCAGCTTTATTTTAAGTATTTCCTGAGCTAGTCAGATCAGTTTTAATGTTTGCAATAATCGCTTATTCTTAAAATAAATGTTACACAGACTCGAGATTAGTCAAAATATAAACACATGTCCTGAGGAAGTCAAGTAGGGCTCTTTCAGAATTCTTCAACAATTGCAGTATGTGTAGTCTTGGAAGCTAAAGGCCTCTGCAATATTTTGTATTTTGCGATTTTTCTATAAAAATCAAAAGTCTGTATTAAGTCTTGGATTTTATGACACATCGTGTGGAAATCCTTCTTGAAATCTGATCATTAATGTGTTTAAATGAACGCCCTTAGAAATAGTTCCATAAAAGCAAAAGTTGAAGGCCATGATGAAGGCGATTTCTAATCATTTGTGTTTACATTTTTAAGAAGCAATTTAGGCCCCTTGTTTAGAATATAACTTTTTTGTTGAGTGAACACTATTTTTATACGTACCTTGATCTTTGGAGCGGTCAAATACTTTTGCACGTTACTGTGCAGCATATAAATTGATTTTTATTCAATCCGTCGGGGGAATAATTTTAATCTTGATAGGTATTTAGTGAGGGTCTCCAACACTGTTCCACAGGAAGCAGACGTTCAAACATTAATGACTTTAGGCTGAATGTTAAAAGGGTAAGTTCAACCAAATCCCCTTATCTAAACATTTTGTACTAAATCATCTTGTATAAATTGGCAAACATCTACTACTCTACTTATTTTTGTGTGCCACTGAAAATGTCAGTTCATGACACAGTTTACCTACACTGATCTGTAATGTCCAGCACTCACGAATTCTGACCAGCACTTGAGCATTTAGCCCTAGCTGACCAGCAAGGTAATTCAAAAAGGAAACTCAAGGATAAAAACATTAGGGATCATAACATATCATTATAACTACAATACTGGCTCTTTGAGCAACATGTATTTTATTGGTGACAAATCTTGTGTATTGAAAAATGGAAGAAGGTGGACGGGGGTGTGAAGGTTAAGTTATGAGGTGGGGGTGGCTATGTGCGCATTATTTTTTACGTACCCCAAGCCCCTGTAAAGAAGCATGTAATATAAGCGAATATCACTCATCAAGAACAGACCCTAGTACAAGATTCACCGCTGCATTCCATGAAAACCCTTGATCAGACCCCTGATCAGAATTTATAAGGTACTCATATTTTTTCAAAGCTAGAACATGAAAGGGATTGTGAAGTTGTCAAGTGTATTGCAACTACAGATTGTACACAACACACCTGTTATCCAAGTTTACGTCAGACGATAGTAATAAATGAGAATATAATGGCTCCAAAAAATGTAAGATAAAGTATAACTTTTCAACATCATTACTAAATATAGAAATACAATTAGATTAAAATTTGATGGAATACTAACATGAATTATCAAGCAACAATATGTGGGTTCGATGAACGAAGACATGTGCAACCGAAATATACAGGGCAGCTTCTTCAACATATTATTGAAATCCTTCACTTAAATATCTAATTTATATTATCTTTTAGTCAGCTGCTATATATTTACTTATTACTTTTATTGTATTATGCCATTAATATAAAGTGGGAATTTCAGAGTGGTCATCCTTCTATCTAATATCAGTGTGAAAACAATGCAGATACACTATGCTTTTCACAAGAAATACACAGCTCTTAGTTCAACACAAGTGCAGCCATCAATGGCTGCATAAAACAAATTATGACGAGTGACGGATGCATGAAGGAGAGGAGCGAAGTCCCGGAGGAGCATAAGACTCTTCATCGTCAGCTTAGCAGTGTCATCATTGCTAAATGCTATTTTCTAGCGGTTCATAGTGTTTGCATTGGCTTGTTGAACCGGCCTATTTTTTTTTTCAAGTAGAGACAGCTCAACTTTACATAAGGTCAGCTCTGACCAGTATTTTGTTGCCAGTAATTTAGAAAGTTTTACAGACTGTATCATCCAATGCACATCATGTGCGATAAGTGTTGAATTTACAAGCATAACATGCAGTCAGTTCAGACTGAGGATAAAAACTGGAGCCAAGGAATATGCCATTTTTATCCAGGAAACACTGATGAGGAGTAAATTGAATTTAGTGTGTTTCCGTTTAAAAAGCTCTTTTGAATTTCCGTGGATCTAAATTATCTTAGCTAATTTTTCCCAGTTGGTTCACTATGTATACTAAATGATTTGTAAGTGGAGTTCATATTGACCACAGGTTGTATCTGTTGGGGTTTACTATAAATGTTCAATATGGAATATTCAATATAGAATATGATAATAGGTATATGCCTATTACATATGGAATCTGGTATTCAATACAAGAAAAATATAAACTTTTTATATAAAATATTGTACTATTCCATACGAAATATAATGCTCTCTACATGGTGTTCTGATGGAAAATAAAAAATCGTCACAAAATAATATTTTTCATTTTTTTTAAGGTAATAAATAAATATAAGTCAGTCTGAATTTTTAACTGTTAATTCTTAATTTTGCTTTCTTTAATTTAAATTCATATATTTGAAAAGAAATTTAAATATAAACTCAAAATATACTGACAATCTGTATAAAGAGGCGCGGAAACATGAGTGATGAAAGAACAAAAGGGATATGGTGACAAGTGGGCATGGGAAAATGATTGGTAGTTTAAATATTAGAGGCCGCTATTCATTAATGATATATGATGAATTAAGGTTCGCAGACATGTAGTATTAAAAGGCACTACAGCTGGAGTTGCATGGTGAATTTCTAATTTTTCGGAACCAGAGGATGATACCAAGATATGGTTTCAAAGCTTTGTGGGCAGTGGAGGACCGTCAAGGCAAGCAAGGTATGCAGTGCATACCCTGGCTAAAACAAATTTTAAAAAAATATATAGTAGTACAGTTTCTCAGTTTTATTTAGCATTTCTTAGTCAGGATCTTCTATATAGGCCTACACCCTAATTTTTCGAGTGGAATGCTTTTCATTGGAATAGCAAAGTTTTTCAATGTTTGGCTTACTTTGGTACCTAGCCTAGGATAAGTCACAGTCGAGTCTATCGCATCGTACTTAGAATTTCCGCATGGCTGGTCTTCGATATCAGCCAATCACTTATTCAGTGAGTCAATGGAAGTAAGAACATACCCTACAATATAAAAAATATTGCTATTGTGACAACCGTGTGGTGGCGTCAGAATAGCCAATTTAACACTGGAATGGAAGCAGTGCTTCCAAGAGTATGTGCGCATGCTCTTCTCACAAATCGGGACCTCCACTGCCGATCAGGTAATCTATCTATAAGCCTAATCTGAATCGATTAAAATTTAAATATATTTACATACATAATTATGACTGGTATAGAAGAAACTTCGAATTATTATTATTTGAATTGAAATTTGTTAAAATACAGGAATAAGTATTCTTTTGAAGAGAAGACAACCATGCCGGTATTAAAAATAACATGCATTGTATTTTGATTATAAAACGCAATCTGATTCTGTTGGATTCCGTATGGTAGGATTACAAACTTTTCCTATCACTAGCATGCCCTAGCATCAGTGGCAGGTCTTGAAATGGAAGGGAGCTAATGGTGTTAGGAAGGTAGAATGGGAGATCGGTGATTATGAGGGAATAAATCGCAAAATAAGGTGATATGAGGTGATTTTTAATTACTTGAGCACGATTTTTGGGCGGGGCACGACTGGGGAATGGGCGAGTATTTTTTTTCAGGGGTAGGGGGAGGAAATGCGGCCCCTTGTAAATCCTAGATATGCCAATACCTAGCATACCCTGCAATTTACCCTACGGTCCGCCACTGTGGGGGATTAAGTAATAGCAGGCATAAAAATGAATAGGAGGCCCAAAAGTGAATTTTTGATTTTTGGGCTGGACCCAAACTTCTGCTCTTACAAAAACCTTCATTCACTGCATTTATACAGTTTTACTTCCCAGTTTTAAAATACTACTTTTTACAGGTGATCAGCGTCAGGGCTAGAAAAAAAGGGAGGTTCCTAGCAATGTGTTTTGGCGGGCACTGAATTTTTAAAAATTTACACGTTCCTCCCGTGCCTCATTACTGGATCCGCCCCTGCTATATTCTCAGCCACTAGTAAAGAATATAATGAACGAATGCTCTGTTGAGATTGTATGAAGCTGGTCAAAAACGTGTGGTAGCCACCGCGTGTACAATCTACTTTAACCATCTACAGTACGCTGCTTGTGAAACAAAGTATATTGCAGCATTTAAGCTGTTTATTTCAATACAAAAAGGGAGCTGTTTACATGGTAAGGAATGCAGTACACCTTGCAGAAAAAAGCAAGGATTGTCTTCTGGTATAGGGGGAAAATTTACCCCAGAGATGGCAGTTCCCTTCTGTTGCAGCTGCTGTAGTTTTCAAGTGGGACAGACCAAATTGACTTTAAACTTTAATAATTTACTTATTTCCTTTATGAGTTACATATCTTGTCAATGTCTTTCTCAACTAGACTGCTAGAAAATATTTCTTTGTAAAATTTTCCAAATTCTTAATACTTAGGAAAACATATTTATATAAAAAATTTCAACATAAGCTGCCAGAAATGACCTTGGTAAATACATTATTCCTATGAATCATGAGCGGAATGAAGACTCAAAGTTTATCCCGCCCATTTTAGTTAAACGAATAATCTTCTGATAGCCTCCCACGAAATCCTGACATTTCGGGTTGAAATAGGGGGCATGACCTCAAATAATTACAACTCCCACACCGTTTGAATGTCAGGCTATAGTCAATTATAAACTTGAGAATTGGTCGATCTTCATGGAATTTTTCTGACTAATAAACTGAGCATTAGCCAAGATAATTAGGCCTACACATACATTCTAGTGCACTTTACATTAGATACTAAATCTTTATGTATTCCTCAGAAGAGAAAACCTCAGAGAGGCTCTCTTATGCATGATTATTCATTTTCAGCCTCTTTTAGAAACATGAAAATCTTGAGTGCTCTGTTCATAGTTTTGTAGTACAGCCTATAGCTACAATAACACATTAATTTACAGTACATACATTAAATGCAAATGTAAATTTACATATATATTGTCATTATTGAAATTAACCAAAAAAATTATATTAGGCCCCTAGGTAACCATGGCAGCCACATGGTAGGCCCCCATCATGGGAAGCGGTCAGAGAAAGACAAACCTTACTCATTTTCAATAGCCTACACAGTTCTCATTCATGCACACATTCACAAATAGTTAATGCACATGGAACAAACAGTTAATTCTACTTTTTTTGCTCACACTCTTCTAATTTGTCTGTCCAACTCATCCTTGTTTGATCAAACTTTGATTGTCAACAAACTTTGATTGTCATTAAACAAAATTGTGTATATTTTCCAAGTGTTTTCAAAGTGTGGTTATACATCATAATGAATGTGTGCATAAAAACCATTTTGTTGAATGAACTAGTCTTCAAAGTTATTATTAAAGTACTAAAATCTCCGTGTTACATACACACAAAAATCTGATGTTCTTACCTAAGAAGTCGTCAGGAGAAAACTTGTCATTGTCCCATATCTGAAGGATCAGAGTTGGAGGTACACGAACCTCGGTCTTATCCAAACTCCAGAAATGCTCCTAATAGTAATCATTAATTATTTTTATACATATGGAAAAAAACAATATAAAGCCAAAAATAATAATATAATTATAATTCAATTCTTCAATAAAAATACAACTGTATCAATTTGGAGAACTTGAGCAAATGTTTCTATAATTTTCAGATGTAAATATTTTTAGTATGAAAATCAAAAGGCAATATCAGAACAACAATAGTAACATAGCAAACACGTAAATGAAAAGCGCAGTTTATGTACAAAAGTATGGTAGTCCCAAAAATTAAATTACAGGAAACAAAATAACAATAGTAAATATGTCAACAATGCAACAGCTTAATTTGCTTTAATCCACTTTTTGAATTATAAGGCAACACTTTTTTATACTTTGTTTCGTGAATTTTTTAAATGATCGTTGGAAAAGGGCGGGAAAAAAAAGTTTGTTTTCTTATTTAGCAAATAGTTTTGCCAAAAACATCCATATGGAGAATAAAATAAAACTATAATTTTATCAGTGAATGTAAACAGTGTAGTAATGGGATGGTTAAATGCTTTGAATTTATAAAATCTGGAAGAAATATTCATGTATAATTTTTGGAGATTTCAAGGCAGCAGTGCGCACAATAAAAATGAAGAAAAATTTTTAATTTTTTTCTGAAATTTCAATTTTTTTGTGGTGGCGGGTGCACTAAATGGCTAAAAATAAAATTTAATTTTTATTCCATATTATCAT